AAACAGCCCCCAAATGACACTGCAAAACCGCTGAGGAAACCAGTGCTTCCACTGGGCAATATCAATACCCCACGTGGCTTTCTTGGCAATCTCTGCCAGACCAGCTTAAGATAAACACAAATCTGCTGAAGACATTCAAGTCAAGAAACTTAGCATCAAGCACATTCCCAGCATGCAGATGCTCGTTCTGCAGCCTCAGAACTGATGAGTTTTAGGTAGAGCCAGCCTGGCTGACTTGAGAGACCCTCAGCAAGCCCTGCCGCTGCCTCTCTGCACACCTCTGCTGACAACCCAACCTGGGTAAAAACAGGGCCAGAAAGAAGGTAGATTTAGATTAGATCTAAGGAAGAAATTTTTCATTCAGAGGGTGGTGAGGCACTAGAACAGGTTGCCCAGAGAAGTTGTGGATGCCCCATCCCTGACAGTGTTCAAGGCCAGACTGGATGAGGCTTTGGGCAATCTGTTGTAATGGGGGGTGTCCCTGTCCCTGGCAGGGGGGTTGGAACTAGATGATCTTTGAGGTCCCTTCCAACCCTAACCATTCCATGATTCTATGATTCTGTAACAACTCCAGAGTGGTAAGGAAGAGGCCAAGGAGGATGATGGACACTGCAGGACAAGTGTCCCACAGGCAGGCTTCTGCTATATCCACTGAGCAACTGGGGCCTGCCCAGTTTGGGATCATACATTCTGCCATCTGCTACAGAGCAGCAGATTAAGCTGGAGTAAGGTAGCACTGAAAAAGAAGTTTCTCAGTCATTTAAGAAAGACTAATTGTCCGAGCAACCAGTGATAAGGTTAGGAAAGCTAAAGCCCTGATAGAGTTAAATCTGGCCAGGGACATCAAGGGCAACAAGAAAAACTTCTATAGATATGTCAGTGATAAAAAGAGATCTAGGGAAAATGAGAGCCCTCTCCGGAAGGAAACGGGAGACCTGGCTACTCAGGATATGGAGAAGGCTGAGGTTCTCAATGACTTTGCCTCAGTCTTCACTGGCAAGAGCTCCAGCTGCACAGCCCAAGTCACAGAAGGCAAAGGCAGGGACTGGGAGAATGAAGAACCGCCCACTGTAGGAGAAGATCAGGTTTGAGACCATCTAAAGAACCTGAAGGTGGACAAGTCCATGGGACCCGATGAGGTGCACCCGCGGGTCCTGAGGGAACTGGCAGATGAAGTTGCTAAGCCACTATCCATCATATTTCAGAAGTTGTGGCAATCTGGTGAAGTTCCCAATGACTGGAAAAGGGGAAACATAG